TGCAAGACCTGTGACAACACTGCGCAAGACCCCTCTTACCCTCTCAGGTTCAATGATCATGAACCCCCTAAGCTGCTGAAACTCTGAAGCCCGAAAATCTCGTCAACCCTGAACCCTCAACCCGAAAACTCTAAACCCTAAACCCTAATCCCTAAACCCGAAACCCTGAACCCTGAACACACGCCTTAAATCCTCTAAACCCTAAACCCTAAACCCTAAACCCTAAACCCTAAACCCTAAACCCTAAACCCTAAACCCTAAACCCCTAGACCCCCGGGCCCTAAACCCGAAAACCCTAAAAACCAGAAACCTTTCAGGGCCCCTTCCAGGGGGGTTCCTTTAAGGCCTCGAGAGGATGCCTTTAAACTTTACTAGTTCTTCGGTTTAGGGTTTAGGGTTTAGGGTTTAGGGTTTAGGGTTTAGGGTTTAGGGTTTAGGGTTTAGGGTCTTGGTTGGGATGGTATTAAATTTCGATTCCTTTTTTGGGTTGAGGTAGCCATAAAACTGCAAAGTGCTACCCCAACGATGACAAAGAAGTACGGAATCCCTTATAACAGGCCCTGAACCCTAAACCCTAAAGCACTGAAGCCCCTAAAGCCCTAAACCCTAAAGCCCTAAAGCCCTAAAGCCGTAAACCCTAAACCCTAAAGCCCTAAAGCCCTAAAGCCCTAAACCCTAAAGCCCTAAACCAAAGCCTTCAGCTCTTCATCCGTGAAATGCTTTGTCGGGTCGGCATAGAGCTCCTGGAAGCGGAGCTTCGGATATTTGCGCCTTTTTGGGAAGTTGGGGCTTCGGATGTCCGGGTTAGGGTTTAGGGTTTAGGATTTCGGATGTTTGGGTTAGTGTTTAGGGTTCAGGATTTAGGGTTTGGGGTGTGGGGTTGAGGGTTGCAGGGTCCGGGGTTAGAGTTTTGGGCTTAAGTTGTGGGGTCCGGGGTTTAGGCTTTGGGGTTAGGGTAGTATCGGGGCAGTAAGTAACACACGAGGACAGGATTTGGCGGGTCATGTCATAGTATGACTATCCAGGCATGCGGCATAATATAAGGGCCTTAATATTACCTATACTTTTTTGGGGGGCTCCTTGTTATAATCATGGTATAAGATATCCCAAAACCCTATTCTAATTATGGAGCGCCCCTACATTAAGGAGGATGTTGCCTAATGTTGCTCCCTCTACATTACCTTCGGCTGCTCCGGCCTTACGCCGTGGTGCTTTGTGGTTTAAGGCTTCGGGCTTGCAGTGGGGTTTAGATTTTGGGGGCGTGGGGCTTGGGGATCCAATGGAGCCTAAAAACAGCCTTAACTTTTTGATACTACTTCAAATTCACTTTACTCATTTGATTTTTGGTTCTGTAGTTTTTCTGATTATATAAACACATATTATGCAAATTAATCACTTTCAATGATATTAATTCCTTGAGCAAGATGCCGGAAATTCTCGAGGGTTCCCCAACATGACCTAAAGCATATTCGTTGACTCAGGGGTGTTGAACTTTCTTTCGTCTTCTTGCCCGGACTTATCCTCGTAGCACAGGCAGTATTATCTCTGCTCATGTGCTGCTCGACTGTTTAGGGTTTTTCTGAGGGCCTGGTTCCACAGCAGATTCTGCAGAGAGCCCCATACTACTGTTTACGGTGTCGGGTTTAGGATTGTTTCAGTACATGCGCCCACGCGCACGATTGCACAGTCAGACAGAGGTTCGGATGGAAGCTGACTTCTCAACTTCTGGGCTCGGGGGCCCTACACTTTCAGCCGTGTCTCCTTGTAGTCCTTGCACCAATAGCTGTCCTGCGGGGGAATGGTTCCTAAACCCTAAACCCTAAACCCTAAAGCCTAAAGCCTAAACCCTAAACCGTAAACCCTAAAGCCTACACCCTAAACCCTAAACCGTAAACCCTAAAGCCTACACCCATCGGGGCTCCCTTTAATGACCGACCGGGTTCACCACAGCAAAACAGAGAGCCCCTAGCTTCCCAAGCCCAAGGCAGAGGAAGACCAGAGCCTCTCAGCTTCGGGTTTAGGGTTTAGGGTTTAGGGTTTAGGGTTTAGGGTTTAGGGTTTAGGGTTTAGGGTGTAGGGTTTAGGGTTTAGGGTTTAGTTTAGGGCTTCCTTCTTATGATCCTATGAACATATGATCATAGCGCAATACAACTATCCGGAAAATCCTTCTCTGACTACCTGGATTCCCGAACGCGAAGGATCAGTTGAACCAGAACTAGAGCCATCAACCCCCCGCCACATGACCTTCCGATATCGGCATACTGCGATGTGGCCCGTGATCTTTTCCATCTGTTGGAGGATAAGGGCACCTCATTGAAAAGCCCGTCAAGGCTATGGAAATCTCAGGAAAATGACGCGAATATGCGCAATAATGTTCCGAGGGGGGGCGGGGGGCCTTAACTAGGAATCCAGAAGCAGAATGCATCCTCTTGCAATAAGGACCTCGAACAGGACCCTAGTTTGCAGAACTTCCCAAAAACGACGTAGACTCCAAACCCCCGTAAGAAAGCCATGCACCTTAAATCATCTGAAGGATCCCTCTGTACTTTCCTTAAACCCGAAACCCTACACCCTAAACCAATAACTTAAGATGCATTGCTCAGCTAAGAGGTTTCGGAGTCTAAGAGGTTCAACCATTGCCAATGATTCAGGCACCTCCCAGAGAACCCAATACCCCTTAATTAAGGAATATACCTTAAATCATAATACTAAGGCCCCTATAATTTAAGGTATATTCCTTAATTAAGGGATATTGGGTTCTCTAGACTTGGGTCATCCTCCACCTCTAGGCCCGCAGTAGACTAGAAACTTTGAACCCCTAAACCCTTAGACCAGAAACCTCAGCTCCGAGACCATTAGCTTTAAATCCTCTAGAAAAAGCTCAACCCCCAAACCCTCGAACCCATATATAAGACGCCGAAAACTCAAGCCCCTAAAACCCTTAAACTCGCCCTAAACCCTTGATAAAAACCTCAAGAAATCCCTGATAGATCCATTCTAGGAATAAACCCTAAAGCCTTAATCCACAACCCTCAAAGGGACCCTTCAAGCAACCCTGAAAGCGACAGGGACCCCTAATTAAGGGGAAAATGTAAGAAAACCCCAAGGCCCCGATTGGGGCGCCGACCCATCGCATCGTCCACGACCTCTAGGGGATAGCAGAGGAAGATGAGCCTCACATGGTTTAGGGTTTAGGGTTTAGGGTTCAGGGTTTGGGGTTTAGGGTTTAGGGTTTAGGGTTTAGGGTTTAGGGTTTAGGGTTCAGGCTTAGGGTTTAGAGTATTGGCGAGTCTGTCATGGTGCCTTTAAGGGATCTAGAAGGGGCTTCTTTAAGGGATCTCTCGGGAGGGCTCGTTTAAGGGCTCCTTTAAGGGTGCCTTTAAGGGGGTTCTGTGAGGGTCGGTCCGAAAACGGCTGATGAGCATTCATGGCTTATGGGGTGTTGGCGATAAGGGTCAGCATCAGGACTGTCTTGACGGATTCTATCAGGGTTAGTGCATGGGTTACCTAAACCTCAGAACCTAAGTCCCCTGAACCCCAAACGTAACAGGGTTTAGGGTTTAGGGATGCACGAGATTCTTGGGCTAATTGGGTTTAGGGGTGCAGGGTTTTATCTCCTCGCTCCAACTTACGGGACAGGGAGGGTTCAGCAGCTCCAGTTGGGAGGCGAACATCTACAAGGTTTAGGGTTTAGGGTATAGGGTTTAGGAATTTAGAAACCCTAAACCCTAAACCCACCCACCCTGTGGATCCCGTGACATTTAGAACATATTTTACTTATCAGCTTCTTTCACCTGTTGCTTTCGAAATTACCAAGCCTCCAAGAAGTCCTAAGCCATAAAAACCCAGCACTCGGTTCAATTACAGCAGTACTAGCATTGCTGAAATGCAAGCAAAAACGCAGTCAGGACGAAGTAATCTTAAAACCATAGAGACCAGAGACGCTAATAAGTCCCGAACCCCAAAAGCCAAGCTCCCGGTAAGCCCTAAACTCGCACATTCTTCCCAACAGCCATCTAGGCCAGTAAAAATCCCAGGCCCTCAAACCCGCGAGCCCCAGGTTTAGGGTTTAGGGTTTAGGGTTTAGGGTTTAGGGTTTAGGGTTTAGGGTTTGGGGTTTAGGGCTTAGGCCCTAAACCCTGTTGGTCCGGACCACTCTTGATGACCCTGCCGGGTGACGCTCCGTCAGCGTCCTTTGCATTCTGCCTGGGCTTGACTACCTGGCAGCTTCCCAAGATTTCGCGGTCAGTCCCTGCCCTGAAAAACCTCCCGTACTAGGGTTCCTCATCTTGACTTCCATATAGAGATAGACAGAAAGATGGATAGATAGAGAGATAGAGAGATAGATGGACAGACAGGCAGACGGACCGACAGACAGTCAGACAGCCAGCCAGCCAGCCAGACAGACAGACGGATAGAGATATTCACGTATTCATTGATTTATGATAAGCTGTTTGGATGGCTCAAACAAAGTACGGGGTCTTCGGAGTCCTTTAGGGCGCGGGTACGGAAGTAATCCCGCCCGAGTGGTGCGGTGCTGCTTCTTGAGCTCGAATCACCGTGAGGCTCAGCCCCTCATCGTCTGCGTTAGAGCTAGGGTTTGGGGTTTAGAGTGTAAGTTTCAGGGCCAGTTTCGGGATGTAGGCCTTTGCAAGGGCCTCCGAAAGTTTAGGGTTTAGGGTGGAGGGTTTAGGATTTGAGCTGTTTAGAAGATGCCGGGGGTACTATAGGGGCCTTAATAATTCTACTAGGGTCTTCGGGCCCATTCTATTATATGTGTGAAACCGCTCTTGCAGAGAGCTGTGAATGCCCGGCTTGCTCTGGGGCTCAAGGGCCCTTGGAACTCCTTTTAGAAGGGATCCGTATGGAAACGGTGTGAGTGCTGGAAAAGGCGCTTCTGTTTGACGGTGAACCACCTTCGGTTTTACATGGTAGCGGAGCGCTGAGGCGCTCGAGAAGGATATCCTTTGGGAAAGCCGATAGCTGCGAGCCCAGGCACCATGTCAGACAAGGACCCGTTCAAGGACCTGGTCTTCAATGGTGCTCCGTCGGAGTATCGGCTGTTCAGGCGGAAGATCCTCCTGAGTGTGGCTTCTCTGGAGGAGAAGCATGTTTACTTGGCTGGCCCGCGGATCTTGAACCGCTTGACGGGGGAAGCTTGGCGAGCGACTGAGCACCTTGCCATTGGCGACCTTAGGTCTGAGAAGGGCTGGTTGAGAGTTCTGCAGGCTCTGGACGAGCACTACCGCTATTTGCCGGAGACCGAGCTGAACGAGTGTGTGGACGAGTTTCTCTTCCATTTGAAACGGAAGGGCCACGAGGGGCCCACAGCTTTCGTTTCGCGTTTCAAGGCGGTTCTCAGCCGGCTTGAGACTTTGGTGGCTGCGGAGAAGGCACAGCAAAAGGGATCGACTAAGAGAAGGAGATCGTCGAAGCGGACACCGAGTCCGGATGGAGAGCCTTCTACGAGCAGCTTGAGCTCAGATCATGCTGAGGATGAGGAGCCGGTCCTAACCAAGGACCGGGTGGAAGCGGCGGCAGCGGCCGCTGAGACTCCTTCGGGTGCTCGTGCACCAGCTGAGCCGGCCAGTGTTTCCAAGGGCCCGCGCACGGTCGGCAGCTTCGTGGAGTCTCCTAAGAAAAAGCCCCCTTCAGCAGGCGGCTCTCAGAAGAGCCGCGGGACACAGAAGGCCGATGATGAACGAGCCAACCGACAGATGATGGAAGACTTGGGGAAGCTGGAGGTCGGGCATCTCCGGGTGAAGCCCATCTTCCCAGAAGTGATCCTGGGACATCTGTTCATGAGGAAGTACGGGCTGAATCGGGAACAGAGAAGCCAGGTGATCCGTTCGACCGGTGGCTCGTGCCGGTTCAGGGACGTGGAGAAGGTGATCCGTGCCTCCGACTACGAGGACAAGTTCCACGACCCGAGCTCCCGAGTTCAGTCGTCTCGGTCGACAAGCGGGGCTAATGTCCTTGCTGCCGAAGAGGGCAGCAGCCTGAGTGAGCCCACCTACTCGGACGAGGATGAGGTCAACGAGGCGGCTACAGGCGACGAGGAGAACGACGATGATGAGGACCTCGAGGAGGCCTATGAGATCCAGAAGAAGGCGAAGAACGATGCAAAGCGCGCCTTCCGGAGCTACAAGGATAGCCGGCGACGAGTGAAAGAAATCCGGAAGGACAGGCAACCCTACATGCCTGTGGTGGCGATCCCGCCTTCCTCATCAAACGCGGTTCCCCCCGACGCCTTGCCGGTGCAACCTACGTTCCGGTATGACCGGAAGCCGTCCCGACGGACAAATGACAAGGGGAAAGGCGGCCGCAAGGGCCGCAAGGAGGACGTGAGTCTCGTGCAGGCCTCGTTGGTGACCGAGTTTTCTTACATGGTCTCGGCCGAGGACGCTGCTCCAGAGGATGACCAGGAGATCTTTGCCGTCTCCGTGCCGCCTGGCTTGGCTGTGATAGACACGGGGTGCACCACCTCGGTGATCGGGAGGCGCACAGCTGATCGCTACATCGAGTTCTTCAAGGCAAGGAACATCCCCGAGCCGACTCTGGTCACCCTGCCTCCTGTCCAGCTGAAGGGCTTCAATGGGATGCGCTCCTCCTCAGATCGTGGCCTCAAGTGGACAGTCAAGCTTGGAAGTTTGTGGGGCCAGGTCACGACTTACCTGGTGGAGGGCGAGGCTCCCTTTCTCTTGAGCCGCAAGGTCCTGCAGAGCATGGAGGCGACGATCGACCTCGGCAAGTGCACTCTGTCGAGCGAAAATCACGGACTCAAGAATGAGCCCTTGGCCCAGGCGAGCAATGGCCATCTCCTGATGCCCCTAGTCCCAACCGAGGACTACGAGGACCTGCTCCAAGTGCAACTGGCGGAGACCCCTGTAGACCCTAAGGAAACCCCGAATGAGCACGAACATCCCGAGCAGGTTTCCCCTAAGACCCCGAAGCCTAGTCCTAAGAAAGACCCCCTTAAGGACAAGGCGGCCGGTGTAGATAAGCGCAAGCACTTCCAAACCATAATGAAACACACCCGATATACCCAAGTGGATACAGGTACCTATCGGTATGAACTTCGGATGGTCTTTGGTCAGGATGTGGACTTTGCTCTGTGTGCCTACAGGCCTAGGTTTGAACGCATTCCCAAACAAGCAGCTTCCTGCAGCATGCAATCATGTGCGGCCCACCTGAACCAAGCAGGTGAACTAGAAATCACGCCCTGGACCCTTAGAGAGCCCTCGGCCAGGAGGGCGGTGTTCGACCGGCCTGGAGCATGCCTCTTTGCGTACCGATACGCAACGGCCCAGGAGCAGGCCGTCACTGCAGATATGTTAGGGAAGCATGAGTCGCTTGAAGTTCCGGCAGCCCGTGCTGCTGAGCCTGAATGCCCGTCTAAGTGTAATTCCGAATCCTTGAAAACAACGGCAGCGACCTGCCACACTGACGCCAGGAGACACTCTTCCTGTGAAGGGTGCGAATGCTGCAGTATGATGATGAGATCTGATGTGAGTACGTCTGGCCGGGAACATCCAAACGAGGAAACCATAAGTCCCCCTGAACTAGAAGCCATGTACGAAGAAGTCGATTGGGTTTCCCTAGAACATCTCCCAATGAATGCCCGAAGCCGAAAGCGTATTGCCCGACAAGTTGAAGCTGTTCGCCGAGTTCCCTTCCAACTTGCCCTAGCCAGCATCCAGGAGCAACCTCAGCAGGTAGAGCAAGAACTTGCAAATTGGCTCGGCCCCCAAGCCTCTAAGCTGAAACAACCAGTGGGCCTCGTAGAGGTGTTCGCCGGTCCTGCAAGCCTGTCTCACCACTGCGAGCGTGGCCGTGGTCTGGCTAGCATCAGGTTAGGAGTTAGCTTCGGTCAGGATTTCAACAAGGCGAAGGATAGGCGGTTGTTGCTTCTTCTTCTGGGTTTTACGAGGTCAAAGGACGTATGGTTTTCGTGGCCCTGCGCAAGTTGGCCGGGGTGGTCGCAGGTTAGCTTGGCCAAAGGTGGAGAGGCTGCAAGGTCTGTGCTAGCCCGACGCAAGAAGGAACGCCCGTTCCTCCGTCTGTTTGAGCGTGCCTGGGCTCTGCAAACCATGCTGGGTGGACACATACATGCCGAGAACCCGGTAGGATCTCAGGTTTGGTCCGAAATTAACATAGGCCCCGCCTTTGAGGTTGATATAGACCTGTGCTCCTTAGGTTCGGTTGATCACGAGACTAAGCTTCCCATCCAACGCCCCACTAAGGTAGTGTCCGCCCTGCAATCGTGCCACTGCCCGGGGCACCAGTCCCATGCACACGTGTCAGAAAAGCCCCGGGATCATGGGGGGCGATATCCACCGAAGTTCTGCAAGAAGCTGGTGCGTGCACTGGCCAGTAGGGACAAAGAGGTTCTTCCAGAGCACGACATCTTCATGCAGACAGACGATGAAGCAGACTCCGAGAGAGAGTCTGACCAAGAGGGCGACCCAGATGAGGAACCGAGGCTGCAAGCCGCCAACCGCAGATCATATGCGGCTATGATCCAAAAGCTGCATGTCAATACTGGCCATGCTTCGGTTCCCCAGATGCTGCGTCTTGCTCAGCGTGCCAAGGCACCGGCCGATCTGATTGCGGAAATTCGGAAGTTCAAGCGCTCTGTGTGTGAAGAACTCCAGGTTCCTCCGACTCATAGAGTAGCAGCCTTACAGCATACCGAGACCCCGAACCACATTGTAGGCCTTGATCTTGTGCAAGTAGAGCTTAAGAAAGAAGGACCCCGTGGACCCATCGAAACCAAATACAATGTCCTTACTGCAGTCGACTATGCCTCCGATTTCGCACAGCAGATCGTCCTGCCAGCTGGTCCGGGAGTTGTGGCTAAGGCTTTCCATGCCATGTGGTGTAGGCCCTATGGACCCCCGAGAGTGGTGTATGTTGATCCGGATCAAAGGTGGGTGTCAGGTGAGTTTCAGGAGTACCTTCGTAGTAATTCCATCACCTTGCTAGA